GCTCTTTCTTCTCTTCCGTGCACACAATAAAGAGAATATAACCCAATAAATGACAATAAAAAATAAAAGAACAAATGAACGAGTGAACAACAAACAAACAAGTGCCCTCCTGGCCCACAGTGCCTTTCTGTCCCTCCCGTGCCCTCGCAGCGTGTTCTCTGTCCTTCTGCGCCCTCTATCTCTATCTCTTCTCTCTCTCCTGCCCCGTATACGCCAAATATCCTCTCGCACGCCCTCGCGCCTGCACATCCTCTTTTCCCTGCCATTCTCCTCTCTTCTGTCCCTCTCTCGGGTGCAACTATTTTTCACCATTTTCCCATACGTTCATTCTCTCCCTCTGTGATCATTCTCTCTCTGCCCAGCAATAAAAGAATAAATGAACAGTGGACAAGTGCAACAATAAAAAATAAATGAACAGGAGCAGCAGTACAAAGTGTGAAGATGCTAAAACAAAGACACACGCGCAGAGAGCAGCAGAAGATGCACTCTGGCACGGGCACAAACAGACTGCACTCAATCTGTGCACATACAGCAAATGACAGCAGTTAGTGCCCAATGGACCAATCACTCGCTCTTCAAATACTCAGCCAATGAGCTGCAGCAGAGGCACCAGTAGAATAACCCGAGCAATTAAAGTGCAATTACTCCGCTTAAAATTTTTACAACGGACACATGAAAGAAGTCAAATTAGTGATAGACATAAAAGGAATAGTAGAAACATGCAAAGCTATGAAAAGTATATTTGGCGTGAAGATGGCTATTGAGTGTGATAATAATGTAGGTCGTTTAGCTATTCTCAAGCACATGCTCAAAGACAATCTGAAAATAGAAGACAGCTCGTACAGTGCTGACGACAATCAATATATCATAAAAACAGCTGAAAATGAGATCTGCCAATCTTTTATATACAGATACCCTGTGTTTCCTCGGATTATAAGTAAATTAAATGATGCAATAAAGAATGAAGAAAAGGATGAAATAATCAGATCGTATGCCATCGAGTTAGCCAATGAACTTATGGAAATGAACCCCCTTGTATACAACCCAGAGCATGGGATAAGTAGGAAGACTGAAGCAGTCGAGAAAATAAAGTTAGATGCCAGCGATGATACTCTAGGCGCCAGAACATGCACGCTAGAGATCAATGATGCAATGTTTCCCAGCCTGAGAAGCATGGCTGATTATACTACAGAAAGTTTGAACAGGGATACCTTTTATCACTTATCTAGTTCACTACAGCCAACGGGCATGTTTCTTCTAAAAGACTTTGCATCCGCGTCCATAAAAGAGTACTACACTGTATATGGCCTCTACACTAAAAGAGATGAAAAGACTAATTTACTATTGGTAAACTATGGTCTGTATCTTATCCACGAAAACTACTTTAAAATTCTAGGCATAATCAAAAAGATTAAAAAAATGAACAACGATAAAGCTCAAAAACAGTCTATAATTGACCAAGTGAATGGATTATTTGCCTCTGAAGAAGACTTCAAAGTGGTCTTTTCCGTTATTGAGAATATAGAATCAATTATAGCTGAAAAAAGCATGCAGAAGCACATGATTAGTGAAGTAGCATACATTACAAACAATATCGACCTTTTGGGTGGAACAGGCGAGCCAAAGACCCTAAAACTTGGGGAAAATCTGAGTGTTTTTGCAAGAGACTTCATAGAAGTCAATAAAAATTTGAAGCATAAAGTGGACACAGAAGTTGCTAAACTAAGAGCAAAAAAAGAAGCATTAGAAACAGAAAAGAAAGAATATGATGGAACATCTTTGAAAAGTCAAAATAAAATGCGCACTATTAGTGATATAGAAAACGATATAATATCACTAGAGTGGAAGATAAAAAAAGAAGAATCACTATATGGTGACATTCTCTTTCTTCAAGATAATCTGCAGTTTTTTGATAACTTAAGCCAAGCCCAAGTAAACTACTTGCACATGAAAATAAAAGGAACTTTAGAAGCTCAGAATCCGAAAGCAAAAGAACTAGAAAAGCCTGAAGAAGCAGTAAAAGCGCCAGAAACAAAGCTCAATGGAAAAGAACAGCCACCATTCAAAGAACAAGTACCTCCACAGCCAGTACTTAATGACCAGCCGCCATTAGAAGAACAAGTATCTCCACAGTCACCACTTGATGAACAGCCAAAAACAGATATGCATGCACAACCATCACCACAGTCACCACTTGATGAACAGCCATCATTCGAAGAACAAGCACCACCGCATCCAGCATCTACAAAAAGCAAGATAGTTTCAGCCCTAAAGATTGTAGTGTCCGTGTTCTTAGTTGTTCTCTTTATAGTATCAACAATATTCTTTGGCTACAGAATAGAAAACAGAATGAAAAGCACCAACAACTAACTCAATAGTCACTAGCATACAATGACTACACTGCACAGTGAATACTCCCCAAAGCACTACTCGCTGTGCTCCCTTGGGCCACCTGACTCTAACTATCTAACTGGTCAGTCAACAGTACAATAAACTACACTTGCACTTACTCTTCATTCTTTCTCCACTGCCAATGAGCACTTCTCCTCTTCACACCACCAGCACCCCTTCTCTCTTCTCCTCCACTTACTCTCCCTCTCATCTACTCTCTTCTCCTTGTTCACTAAGTCCTTTCCTGTGCAGTGCAAAATAAAACTCTCCAAAATAAAACACAAGAAATAAAACTATACTAGCTCTCTTCACTCTCTGTACTATTTATTATTTTATTTTATTTTATTTTCATTTTGTTTTCTGTATCCTACTGCACTTATTTAAATTTGTTTGCACACTGCGCTCTGAGCATGAACCTTATATTCCCACTGTCAAAAGGCCAGGAAAGAGCAGATAGATGCACAGCAGTGATCCCACACATCTGTCTTTGGCCTGTTTCCCTTACCGACACATACACAAGCTAGATTAGAAATAGAGTTTATGGCACATTTATTCTGCAAAGGAACAGGACTGAGACACAACAGATAGCTGGTACTGGCAGAGACCCACTAAACTTGTCTCTATCCCCAAGCTATATCTACTGATCAATCACCGCACAGATACACTGGCCAATAGAGCACTGCAATTAACTCGTGCAAACACAATAAATGAAGCAGTTAGTGCCTAGTAGACCAGTCAGCTGCTCTGAGAATATTCAGCCAATATCTGATAATAATAGCACCAGTAGAATGAATAACTCAGCAAATTAAAATACTTTCTCAATTAAAATTTTTACAACGGACATATGAAAGAAGTTAAAATAAATATCAATGTGGAGAAAATATTCACTGCATGCCAGGGCATCAAGTCCACCGATGATCTTCTGAAGCACGACACTCCAAAAGACTACACATATCTGATATATCGTATCTTTGATGAGGGTATAGAGATAGTAAGCGGTGCAGACAATACTAGTGAAGTAGTGCAGATCTTGGATACGCTTGAAAATAGAATGATAGAATACTTTTCATACAATACATATGGAAAACATGCCATGCATGGCCTATACAAGGCACTGAAGGATAAAAAAAAAGAGGAAGTAAGAAAGCATTTCATCAGCGTAATCAATGATGTTATAAAGCCAAACACCCACATATACAGTCCTTGTCTTGGAATACACATACAGGATGACAGGAGTAAACAGCTGGGGATCGACATAAATGACGAGATGCCTGACCTAGCAAGCCCAAGAACATGCACTCTGTGGATTGATGATGAAAGGTTTTTTTATGATCTGAAATACATGATGGAAACTGCCAGAAAAAGACTGGATAAGGAGTCTCTCTGCCACATTGCAAACCTGCTCTACTCGGAGAATA